TTCACTTTCCCCCCATAACCAAAGGGGGAAAAAGTAGATATTCTCAACAATAACAACAAACTGGAGTTCTTTCAAGAAGCAAGAACAGAAAAAACTAGGATTCTCTTATAGCTGAAACTTGGGGGCATAGCTGAGACTTACAAAATTTACAAAAATATGACCATGTATACACCTATTAAGCTACAGGTATAGATATGTTATGAGTGAACCTTCTTTCACTTTGTATTATCTCTTAGCATATGACAGGTAGGGCTCTTGCGCAAGCGTAAGAACATCTGGCCTTTCAGCTTGATTGTACGTCAAGCACCGACGAATCAACTCCTGAGAAAACCAAAGAGAGATCATTCTATCAAGTATCACTATTAAACTGGAAAAAGAAAAGCAAGGAAGGTAAACCAGATGTTACATTCATATAACGAACAATTGTCAATTACAATAAGAGAAAGGATAATACGTCTTTGCATCCATAGAAGGCTGACGTTGTTCGTATTGCAAATAAAATGAGTGAGAATAGCCACTCAACATGCGAGTTTGGAAGAGTGATAAGTTTGTAGTTATTGAGCAAGCAGAACTAGAGCTGACCCTAAGAGAACTTGGACGAAAGTAGTTATGACGGATACGATAATAGTTAACAGAGAAGATAGCCTAAACAGAATTCAGTGCAAAAATAAGCTTCGGGTAGCTGAGCCCAAAATTTTGGGATAAAGGTTGTGATGTGGTTGCGCAGGTGGCTTATTATTTCAAAGGTTGTGATGTGGTTGCCCAGGTGGCTTATTATTTCACCGGAACCAGGATTTTCAAAGGCCATCCTAGCCCCTTTACCTGGTTGGGGGGCCTGAAAATAACTCCACAAATTGGTTATATTTTAGAAAACTAATGTAGAACATCTTTTTTTTGCTGTCGTCGTCGTCGTCGTCGTTGTTACGTGAAAATCTGGTTGGGGGGCCCCTTTAACCCAGCTTAACTTCTCCAAACTCAATTTGTCAGAACTGTTTATAAGCTCGTCAAAGTTCTTTAACTCATGATTTGTCACCGAACGGAGCATTTAACTTCATTGCCTTTTTACAAGTATTATATATTTAATTTGAGCAGTTAAGTTTATTCAATGAGTTTTGTGTTTGGTAAGTTGCTAAGTAAATGAAGGGTCTTAGACACTGAACTTTATGGATGTTACTTTAAAATCTTGTGCGAGCCGTAAAACCTTGTCGAAGCCCATTAATTAAACAATATTTGAAGAGCTATAAAATTTTCTTCAAATATTTTACAAATTTGTGGAAGCCTAAAACTTAAAACCAATAAAATGAAATAAATAACAAATAGAAATGAAGAAAGTAATACTGTAGAGATTAGACTCCCAAAACTAAATGGCACATGCAGCATGTTACAGTCAGGTATTAGATATGTTTAACAGTGGAAACATGTATAGAATTAAACTAACTGGTTTATATGAACCAATTTCACTCACCTTTGCCTCATTTGAGACAGATGGCTTCGATGGAAATTCCACCTTGCGAGCATTTATTATAGTATCCTCACGAAGTATTCTCTCCTGGGTCTGATCATGCCCAAAGGGGCGTCTACCAAACAGCATTTGATATAACATGACCCCAGCTGACCATACATCAACCTGAATTCAAAAACAAAAAAAATCACGCAAAACTTACTACCTTTGTCATTTTCAGCAAAAGAAAAAAAAAGGATAAGTTTCTATATATAAATTAGATTCTATGATCTGGTTTTAATACCTTTTGTCATTTTCAGCAAAAGAAAAAAATGATAATTTTCTATATATAAATTAGGTTCTATGATCTAGTAAACCAGAAGGCTAGCCTAGTCAAAGTCAAGCTCTGGAGCTTGCTCATTTACAAGGCTTAAAAGCTTAACATTAACAACTAACAAAATGAATTTAAACATAAATGATTATGAAGGAAACAAAAGTAAACCACAAAATTATTTGAATTGCAAAAACAACCAAAATGATTAAAGTGAATACGTATGTATTTGTCTGTCAACATTAAAGAATGATAATTATCTAGACATGCCAAAGCAGGAAAATAAATGAAAATTATGAAATGATACATAGAGAGAGAATAAAATGTGTATGACAAAACATAAAAATGATACATGAAGATTAATGCAACTCTATTCTCACTTTTGGAAATCTGCAAAGGTGCCACAGAAGTTTGACGGATAAGAGTACAACAAAGCAAATATAAGTATATTTTCAATCATTACCATAAAAAAGATGATGTAAGTAAAAACTAGAGGTCTTTACACCAGAGGCTTTCTTATTATTCAACATAGAGATAGATCCGTTCCAGTATCTTTGGAAAATTATGTCATGCTTCCTTTCTTGATATCAAATGAACTAAAAGACTGGTGAGATTTTAAATGTGTCTCTCATTTTTTTCATCTTGGTGCAGGTCTGAGTATTTGACATTCCAACAGCAGGATCTCAATACGCAAAAGAAGAATCTGTTTTGAATATAACATATGATTTGGGCATAACTGCAGGGATGTAAAACAGAAAGTTATGAAACGATACAGACCTTAGATGATATGAAGGGAGTCTTGCTGAGCTCAAAACATTCTGGAGGTAGATACCTGAAAGTTTGTCAACTGCGATTAGAGCTAACTGGGGCTCCAGCATGTAGATTAGATAAAGTTAAGCAATATACAGCCTCTGATATAATCAACCCCTGGATCTCCCATCTACCTCCATAAAACACATACACGCACAGGAAATAATAACAGAAAAAGAATAGGGAGAACCCCCATAAAACACATACGCGCACAGGAAATAATAACAGAAAAACCTCCATAAAACACATACGCGCAGAGGAAATAATAACAGAAAAAGTTTTTTTTATTTTGGAAGGGGGTGGGGGGATGCAAATATCTCTAACTTAAAATTTCATGTGTTTTGATTCTCACTGAACTGTAAGTTAATCAATTTGATAGAAGCAAAGGCAATTTTGCAAGTTTAAGTTGGTATTGTCTTCCAAATATTAAAAGCGTTACTTCGTACATATACCCCTTAAATCATGTGTGCCTGCAAAACTACCCCTCAAATCATCAATTTTGGAAAAACTACCCCGATATCGACAAACCATCAACTTTGACAGGCTAATTTGTGACAACTATGTAAACATATGAAAAAAGTAATTAAAGTTTACCTCAACAATTTGATGACTTGAAGGTTTTTAAAAAAAATGATGATTTTGAGGGGTAGTTTTGCAAATACCCATGATGTAGGGGGTTCACATACAAATAACGTATGATTAAAAATTTAAATTTAGTCACTAAACATTTTTAATCACACTAAATGGAAAGGATTCATGTAGATAAACTAAAAGATTTGTAAAATAGGCACAAAATAGAATGTGCTAACTATTATGTGTAGAAAATAACGGCCCGATGAATTTCATACGAATTGAGATGCCATAGCTAAGTTCCCATGGTTGGATTATGGTACCCTAATCAAATGAAACAAATCTAAAATACTGATGGAAATTGATAATCTTACCAATATGTTCCAGCTCCCTGGGAAGTTAGCTCCATACCCTGGGATCCAACATCATCTTCCACTATCTTGCTAAGGCCAAAATCCGTCACTTTTGCAACACCAACCTCATCAAAAAGAACATTTCCAGGCTTCAAATCATAGTGAATAATCTTTTGAGATCTCTTGTTCATATATATAAGGCCTTGAAATATCTGAACAAATATAATCCTAGCTTCCCTCTCTGAAAGAATAGGTGTTGCTTTAAGGACGGCATCAAGATCTTTTCCTAAATTAAATGAAGAGAAAAGGGTATAATTAGAATCTATGCATGAATCCTGGTTCAAAACACTTTATAAATGAAACAGTGCATATGAATTGCAACTCCTACAGCTCAGATGGTTATGCTATGCTTTTCAGAAATTTGGTAGTAAAAATCAACAGTTAGCAAAACTTATGAATACTAAGAGGAATCATTCGCCTTCGGTCAATAATCATAGATATAGGTATTGTGCACTTTTGGCATATAGTCTCCAAGATAAAGTAGACTTCTGGTTGGATTCATTACAAAGAATAAAACGTGCAACCATGGTTTAAGATGACAGTGATATTGATATTTGTATTTAGGTAGAGTTCTCATGATGCATGTCTTGCTAAAAAAAATTAAAAGACAGGTTTTGAGATGCATAAGCAATAAAAACAAAAATAAACTAAAGAATAGTTATTAATCAGGAAAATTATTAAATATAATAATCTCAAGAAAATAATTTCAAGGAACATGCAGACGTAGTTCAACTCAGCTTAAAAAAGGTAATGAAGATGTAGCGATACAGAAAATGTTCATACCGCTGCAATACTCCAAGACAGTACAGAATGTATTGTGGTCAATCTCAAAGATGTCCCATAGCCTAACAATATGAGGATGCACCAGGGTCTTATGAATGTTGTATTCGCGAACAGCATGGCGTATGTAACTTTGCTTTTTCTGTTCACTCCATTGAGCATTCAAACCATGGAGCTTGCAAGCAACATATCTATGCTCTACCAAGTCAAAAGCCTGCTTGAAAGTTTGCACTTCAAATCACTCCAAAAGAATACATGGTCACCATGCCTATGAAGGCAAAACAGAGAACTAGTATTTGATAGAAATAGCCCCAAGAGGGATCTTATGCTATATTTGTTACAGTCTAAACATAATAGTTCACATAGTATCACAGCAAGGATTTACCTTGTAAACTTCACTAAAGCCCCCCTTCCCAAGAAGATTCAATAGTGCATAACGCTGGTTTAAAATCTGGAAATTGTTGAAACGTGACCCATCTTCATCGCGTATGCGTTTCATTTCACGTATCAACCTTGCCTTTTCAAGTTCATAACGATCTCTTTCTCGAAGACAGTTTTCTTCTTCCTGTACCAAAGAGAAAAAAGAAACAAATCTGACTACATACAAGTGAAAAGATAAAATATCAGGGCTCTCAATTGCATTAAAATTTCTATTTCCACAAAGCCCATGATAACAAGATACTCTTAAAAAAAGGAACACACCTTTTTGATGCTTGCCAAACGAGATTTACAAATTTCATCCTGAATAAGAAAATCTTCTTCAGACATGCCACTTTCAACATCATTTCCATCGCCCTTATCTACCAACAAGAAAAAAACCATATATAAAGATGAAATCAATATTGATTTACAACAAAGAAGCCGATGTAAGATTTGCAAGTAAGTATAACATTTACAGTACAGAAACATTGTTGAAACCAGTTAAGTTTTTGCGTGGATATTACATAATCCTGGAATGTGGTCAACAAACACGGGTGGCATACTAACCACGTTCTCATATATTGGAAGATTTTGAACCATAAGAAGACAATGGTAAGAAAAATTAGGCCAACTGAATTTCATTTTAAAAGTCATTAATGGAACATTTTAACATCTTCGTTCTGAGTATCTAGCGGCTAATGATCTGATCTAACCAGTGTGTATAGCTCTTACGTTTTGAGAACCTAAAGCACAATTTCAAATTTGAAGCATAGTTACGGAGACAGTTATGTTAACACACATTCGTCAGTTTATAATCACAAAGTTGGAATGGTCACATGACTACAATATTCGGATTTTGCATACCTGTCTAGCTTGTAGAACCATACTTGCCTCCCTACTATTAATACTTGCACAATATAACCTAATAGTTGGAGCATACTTATTCAGACTCAAACCTCATTTCCTAAGATTTGTTGAGAAGTTTACTATCAATAATCAGGCTAAATATCGGGAACAAACTAGTCATCAAGGCTAGGCTACAGTTATATCTGTAAGCTCACCACTTGAAACCCTGTACGCCAATCATATCACAACAATCAAATCGAAGTATGCCACAGAGAATAATGAGGAATATAGCATTACCAAACCCTTTGCATGAAAATATCATTTCTCACCCATGGAAGTATACAGATAATAAGCATAATAATAATAATTGTGCCAAGTATTTGCCACCTAGACGTCAAACAACATTGTAAATCAGGAATGTTGTAGACGAACTAGGCACTTAAATAAGAAAAGCAACCAGCAGACATTTCCCCTAGGCTTCCCGGTCAGACTCCTAGCCATTTGTATGCTCCAAGTAGGAGAAACAGGACAGAAATGTGAAATGTGTCCAAGAATTGCAAACAAGTGTTCCAAATTGAAACACGTTCGAGTAAGTCCTAACACATCTGAGTAGTGAGGAATTGTCAAAGTCTGTTTTGGCATGTCTGACATAAGCATTCATAATAATACACATATTTTACACTTTAGCATGATCTGGCAGTACATAGTTCAGTTAGAGATATTGATCGTAAATTCATAATTGATTTGGGTCCAAGGTACATAAAGTATGAACTACTAGATTAACAAAGCTGGAAAAACACAATATAAAATAACTTCTAGAACTATATAACTGATCGCCATAGGCCTCTCAACCTTTGATGAATTTACTGCCATATTAGTGTGCATAAGCATTAAAGACGAATAAGAGGCAACCATATCAACAGAAAGAAATTTCCCATATGTAAATATGTCATTAGCCTATTGTGCAGTGGTATCAAATTCATAAACCTAATATGGAAGCATAAATTTGCCTGTGCGTGTAGATGATTTATGAATATGTTTATATAGACCTCTTGATATTGAATGCTACAAAGGACCAACTAGTACCCTGGTGAATACAATCCAAGAAAGTCACTGCTTTTTAACCAGAATTTATGAAACACATTTTTTCCGTCTAAACAGGAAAGTTCCACAGTTGCCAAAAGGTGGGTCTCTTCGATATTCACATACTCAAAAATAGAATACAGCAATCCAGATTAATCACTATTACCATTTAATGTTGCACCCAAAAAGAATAGACTTGGGAAATGATTGTGGATCAGGAGAGTGAATAACTGTACCAGATTGTCGCTTTTTAAGCGATTTTCTGTGTCTTTCAATGGTCTCCTTTGTCTCCAGCAAAGATTTCTAGATAAGAAACAAGATCTCGTAATCACATATTAGTGTTGAAAAGAAAAGAAATATAACGATATGGAAGGAGCACAACAAATACAGAGAGTATCAGAGCTTTGATTTCTACGGAGCAGTACTTTTTAGTCATACAAAAACAAACAAGCCAAAGCAGTTGGAGGAATTAATTTAAGACCTCTACTCCCATAACTGCAGTTCAAGTATTTTTTTTTTCCACCAATCGATGTTATTAAATTTTTGACATTTCAGCAACTACTTACATAATTAAGTTATGTAAAATTTATAATTGAGTATGTAGATGCAGATGGTGATTGATTGTTGTCGTGTCTATATTGTTGGTGTGTCTATCCTCTACATGAATCTGGAAGTTCATTGAATATAGCACACCAAGTAAGTTCAGATTGTATAAAAATGAAGTTTCCATTTGTGGTTATAGTGGAAAATATGCTTCGTCTATCGGATAGCTCATATGCATTTTAAATAGATAAGATAAAAAACATGCATAGCAAGCCTTTCTATTCTTAAACAAAAACCACGTCTAGATTAAGTACTAAGTCTGTTTGATTTATATTGTTAGCTCACAATCGATTTATATTCTTGGGTAAAGAGTTTCCTTACATTCTATTAAATTTGGTTTTCCGTAGGTATCAGGCTCAAACCTCATTATTTGCAAGTTAAGTATGTTTATTTATTTATGCTAACTTATTCTCATTTACTTTGACTTTCCAAAAGAGTCAAGTTCATGTTAGAGGATTCTCTACATAAAAAAGGAAGCAATGTGTAATAATCAAAAAACATTTTTTGCTGGGCAATAAGTGTTAAATTGATGCAGGTGGAATTGGAATCCTATATCTCTGTACATTCTAAAGTGCTTTCATATTGATAACATTTTTTTCTAAGAGCTTACACATCTATGTAAAAGAAATATAAGAACCAACACAAGAACTATCACTACTTTATGATTCATGATTCCACTTTTATGCTTACGGCTAATGAACATGGCAACAAGGAATCCAGCAATCATTACAAAGGACCTACATCTGAACCATTTTAAATTTTGGGTAATGAAACACAACACAGTTAAAAGTCCACACCTCTGCGAGTGAGTTGCCATGCGATATGAAGTAGAAATAATTGTGATGAATAACTTACAAGATGAGCATTAATATCCTTCAGCGTCTGTCCATCTTCCCATGTCTCAGATATTACAGTTCCAGCTCTGTACATGTCACATGTAATAGATAAAATAAGGAAGAAGAATATGGGAATCATGTCAGTAATGTCAGCACATTCCAATTGGAATGGTTGCATGTGCATGTGTCCATGTGTGTGTTTACATATGACTGCAGAAGCAAGGCATTGGTTTGGGGTTTGGATGTGACGCTTAATAGCATATTATACTATGCAGTTCATACTAACTTACAGCATGATTCATAATGCATTGACTCCTAGTTTAGTCTTCATGTAGCATGATTTCTTCTACATGATACTTAAGAAATGAATGTCAACGTTGATCATGCAAAAAAGTGAGATCTGGAATGTCAATTTATCTTGCAGACCAGCAATAACCCAAATATTGATAAGAACTATTTCGATGGTGATGATCAAAGATAAAACTTCAGATTGGCAATGCTTGATTATGGAACATATTGCAGATAATACATAAACAGAACATTTGAAGATAAATTAAAAGCTAGGTGTTTATGCCTGCCTGCCTCAAACCATATGGAGAGTTATATAGCTTATTCTCAATAGTAATAGATCATGGTGGTGCAGAAGCCTCAGTATAGACTACCTTCTAGATCAAATTGCCTCATCCAGATTAAATGTAAGCTCATTAACTGCAAGGCGTTGTAGTAAGCAAGGCAGTTTTATTCTAATGTTTGAAAGAAGCATGCAAATAGAATATGTGACTAGCACAATAGTTACTGAGGTGTCGTAAAGCAAGTGGACAGATATTCATTATGATAAAAGATAAGGTGCGTTTTTAAGTGCCGAAGAACTATGGAGGTTTGACTAGATTCACAAATTGATACTTGCTTGAGGTGGTGTAAATGAATTCGAGAGCCTATATCAAAGATTTATGCTCAGAGAAGTAGTTATGTAGCAAGCTTCTGGTTTCTGATCACAATTTCACAGTTTCTACTGACAAATTCCTTTGAGTTGACTGAAACCTCAAGGTAAGAAAAGTTCCTCCACTAGAAGCTAATCAAACTTCCTCCAGAAATTTCATGCCTGGTAGAGTATTTTTTTAACTTTCTACCCTAAAAGCTTGTAAAGTATACTGATATCTATAATGCTGTCAAAAAATAAAAAAAGTTTTTCGAGTCTTCAAGATGATGAAATCTATGTAGTATGGATTCATCTATCATGAAGATTTGTAGATCTCAGACAAGTTAACACACATCAGAAACCAAAACCTTTTGGACACTCCTCAGATACAAGTAGGATAGTTCTCAAATGTGCCCTCGATCATATAGTATAGTTTATAATTTAGGACAGCTGTCAAACACTTCTCAGACACGTCTGATATTTCTCATGTATAGGCTTAATCTAGAAGTTTGTGTTCGAACTTGAGCAGCGACATGCCTTTTCTGAAGCCTAACAACCTTTAGCAATTCCACATAGAAGAATCCAAAGGGTTGAGCTATTTTGCTTGTATTATTTAGCAGGCAAGAAATGCAGAAACTTGCTATCTAATTTTAACAAGGATATTGGGTTATGTCTATGTAATATCCGTGTAATATAAATGGAAGAAAAAAAGCTGACGCATCATCCGACAACATAATGGAGGCAATGTATGTAGAGAACTGCACTAATTGCTTTCACATTCCACTAAGGTTAACATGTCCTTCTTATTGAAGGTTTGCAATCATGCTATGCCGTAAAGCCCGTTTGGTACAAATTTCCAGCCAAAAGATAAAAATGCAAGGATTAAGAAAGTACCTGATAACTCCAACATTGCCGAGCCTCAGAGATTCTTGCCGTACTCGTGTTCTTGCTTCTTGCCTCTCTGCTTTTGAAACAGATATCAATAGATCTGATAGTACTTTAATTCGCTGCATTTGTATACATAAAAACCAAATTATGTTAGAAATATATGAAGCAGCGTACAATAAATTTTGACAAATTTTATACCACAAGGACGTCAGATAATAGTACATCAACCTAACTACATGGAAACATCAAAATGAGCTTATTAAATAGACAAATAAAAGTTACTCATGTTCTTTTTAAAAAACTAAAAAGAAAATTAGGATATATAGTTATGTTAAGAATCCTGACGAGATGTAAGAATCCACGTCGCAAGCTCCGAGAAAGTCAAAATAAATGGAAATCCTGAAGAGAAGGCAGAACTGGAACCGTTTCCAGTAGTCTTGATTACATTATATACCTTCCTAAGTTGGACAAACTTTACAATTTATATTCAAGGTACAGCATCTGGTTGAAACAAAATCTTATGCATGATACTCTAATATTACAAACTTAAAATATTCCCATTATCATAGAACTTTGACATGCACAGGCTGGAGTTGACATCACTCAACAAAATACATTGAAACATAGGACAAAGAGATAGTCTGCCTTTGTCAGGGGATAGCCAGGATAGTGATGCTCATCTAACGAAATCAACAAGAAAATCACTTTATTTCAATTCTCTGGAGTCAGCTGTATCCTTCCTCTTGATTCAGCTCGTTATGATTATGAAAAAATTTGGTTTACTTGGCAGCCTCCAAAACTTTCTTTGAAAACTGAACCCAAGTTCGTTTAGACCTATCTCCCTTTCTACTGAAACCTACAGATATGATTTAAAACTTATCCTGTGCGCCAAATGAACTGGTCTTTGCCGTGCAAGCTTCAGAACTTCAAAATGATTTTTCCGTGTCATAGTCTTGATATATGCTACCTCCAAACCCAGTTTCTATAAATGCACTCATTTCATTTTCTTTCTTTTTTCGTTCTCATATAGCAGTGCATCCATCTCAACAGTATCATTGCAGTTACACAGTATCAACAGAAATCTACCTGAGAAACAAGATGATGTGCATTCTTTTCTGTTATACAAGACACTTGACATCCATTTTACTACCATATCAGAATAGATGTCGATGAAGAACATTAATATGCTAAAGACTTTTCAAAGATCGTAAAACCAATTTTTGGTAACTAATAATTTGTATTATTAGCTAGAGAGAGATCATTATGTCGTTCCCAGTTTTTTAAAAAACAATAATGGCTTAAGGAACCAGATGCGGTATTCATCATTATCGCGGGTTAAACTAACATAAGCTAGTTAAAGCTCTCAAATGAAGAAGGTTTAATTGGTTGCAAATTAAATCATAAATTCTTTCACTGGCCATTGGATCTATGAATAAGATTCTTCCGTTTACCAAGGAAATATGCATTTTCTGGAACGTGTTATCAAGCAACTAAGAAAGTATGCAGTACAAAACACGCAAAATGAGGTTATTTAAGGTGTGGATAGTAACATCAGGGTCTTCATCCATGTCATACAGAAAGATCTCAAACAATTATTAGCATTACAACTAAATCTGATGCCACCTCCAAGAGAAAAGGGACCAAAGCACACAGATTTAGGGGGTATTTGGGAGGGTTATTTTTCGGTCAATTAGCACATACATATCTAACCCTTTGGTAAATCACAAACAAGCAAGCTTTTAAGTTGCATCGGAAAAAGGTAGAATTCTTCATCTTATAAAAAACTAGCTCATAAGCTGACCTAAATTAGCCTAGGTTTGACGAAGTAAATGACTTTTCTACATATACAATTTTTATAAATATTTTGTCATGAAAAGCGAAAAGCTAACCTATCCTAAACAGCTTCTAACGATAAGCCCCCCTCAAACACCCTCTTAATGTTAGAAGTCTAACACCTTTCCCAATGTGGATTTTCCATGATTCATACCAAATGGTACACTTCATAGCTCCTACCATATTCCAGAACAGAAATTCACGGATACATATCCTGAACTTCCTAATATTGGCCAAAAACTGTTCAAAATGATCATATTACCAATACAGGTCAAGTAAGTTGAATCATACAGTGCATCTATGTCGCAAGGACACTTATTTGAATTCAACTGCTAAGCACCCATGTTGAACAACCATCACTCTATCGCATGTTCAAACTCAAATTTGTTTTGTTTAATGTGCTGATTCATGCCATGTCCAGTCTGACATTCCCAGTTCTTAGATGAACATGCTTGACCTCATTGTTGTGACCGCAAAACTATACTACGAAATGTGTTCAAAAGTTTCTGTAGTATATATCAAGTAAAGAGCTTCATATAAAGACCTCCGTGAGTTCTCATGTGATGATTTTAATCCATTATATTATGACCTTGTTTCTTCAGTTCCATCCATCACTCTATAATGTTTCAGAGGTTCATCTTCAATAAGCATTTTGTTTCTCTATAGTCTATTCTCAATGCTCATGAAAACACTCAATGCACCTAATTTAGCTTAAAATTTCCATGTGCTATTGATGAAGTTGCGTCAACACTAAAATACCAATCAACCTTGAATTGCCCATAATGTAGATTAGTGACCAATCAATGTTAAATTGCCTATAAAGTAGATTAATGAATGGAAAGACAACTCCTGAACGAATTCAAATCTTCCTCCAAACTTCAGAATCTCCCAATGGGTCTATGGAAAACTTCCTCGATTCGACCATATTTTCCAACATATTAATGTCTAGATTTTTCTATTAGCCTCATAATTTTCCTAAAATTCCACATAGACTAGCATTTCGAACTGTTCCTATATATTTCTAGATAATGTAGATTACAAATTAATTAAGTTGCCATTACTGATTATTAGACCAGACTGTGATGGCATCTAGAGCTATGAAAAATAAAAAAGGAGAGAAAAAAATAAAGCATGTTTTTGATCATGGAACCAGGTGTTCTGCATGCAATTAATTTGAGATATACAAATGTCATGACTTTCTACTTTTGAACTTAAAATTGGTAATCCATTTAGTAAAAAAATAAACAAAATTACATCATCATGCAAGTAGTAAAGTTCTTTGAAATGCGTGGAAACGGATCGAGTAGTGAAGTTCACTAACATAGCTACAAAGCTATCTTGAAACTTAGAAGTTGACTGGTGGGTCACGCTTAGATGAATAAATTCTGAATGGGTAGAGAAGAGATCAGAGTTCTTCCATTGACCAAAATGACTGGAACTACTTCTTTATCCTAAGAAATAGAGAAAGAACCAAATATTACAACCATGACACCCGAGCCTGAACTTAAGCAATATCTCAATGGTTGAATGTTAATTTTTACTCTTGCATTAAATGATTTTCTTCTTGCATCAATGAACCAAGATTTGCCAAGGCGCTGTTTCCTAGATCAATCAACTCCAGAATCCATAATCAAATTTCTCTCATTATGCAACACTAACTTGTTATCTAGTCGTTTTAATCGTCTTTCATGTCTTCCTAAATTTAGGGTTCCTTCAAATGAATAACCATGGCCCACAAATTACCCTGAGAAGCATTTAGGAAAGTTCCATAAAATATATCATTGCTGAGTAAACACAATTAAAACTTTTAAAAGGTTAGGAAACAATCTTTCCCCCTTCTCTTAAGCATCCCATGGTCGGAAAAATTCCCCCCATCCTCCACTCCTACCCGGAAAAAATAAAATAAATAAATATATTTTATTTCATTCCTTAATTCCTGGAGAAAACTAGATCCTGAAGCATACAGCGAAATATAGAATTCCTTCAAACACTAATAGAGCAATCATTAAAACGCTTTCCAAGCTGCTTCTTACTTAATGCCTTTGGCAAGTTTGAGATTCTTTAGCAGTTAGCACTTTGTCAAACCACTCAGCATGAGTGATCCTGACTTAACACTAACATAAGTGCATGGAAATAAACATACAACAGAAATATTAACACAAGACTAACTGGCAATTGTTTAAATAGGTGCATGCCAAATATGTCCATTCCATAATGTCTTCACTGGATATTCTTCCAACTTCCAAGACTTCAACATTGAGATCTTTTTCTCTTAAGATGCAACATACCTTCATCACTGACTGCATAATTCCGTCATTTAATGTAAATTCACATGTTTAATCACTTATTGCTTCCCTAGGCTGCAATAATTATTCCATCTATATAATTACAGGAAAGTTAACAGCCTTGCAATTGGATGCAAAATTATTTGTTGATAAACCAGTTTATATATCGCAATACATATACACAAGTATACCTCGAAGAGAGCACTCTTTTCGTTACAGTTTACTGATTCTTTCAGACAATCAGTTGTGTTGGATTAATGCCCAATTAAAACAGAGTAAAGGAAAAGTAACTATATTATGTTAACAAATAAACTGAGAGAAATGCAACCTTTGTCTTCATTAGATGGTCATGCTCTTTAAGGTCTTTCAACTCCTGTTACATGGGAAGAATGCAACTAGATCATTTACAGCTGCAATGTATTATCTAAGCCAGCAGAGTTATCAACATCAACTGATATATCACTTTTACCTTCTCTAACTGACGGCAGAGTTGCTGATGTTCAGTTGTTTCTTGCCTTGATTTACTGAGGTCCTCCTCCAATGATGCAATTTTTCCACGCAATACTGATATCTCTTCCTAATTTCAGCACATGAGACATTCATTGAAAAAATATATAAAGTGAAAAAGGCTGAATAGTGAATATGTAGAGTCCAAACACTCTCTTAGACCTATCCAATGCAGTGTCAACTATCAAGATATCATACTATCCTACATGAATGTGGATCCAACAAGATATGCATCAAAAGATAAGGAGGTAGTTGTGTTGGTCTCCACAGAATATATATGTGATACTATACATATGTGCACGAAAATTAAAACAATTCAAGTAGCGCACAAAATGTGCTGATGTAGGTCGGTAAACAATAAAAATGTTCCAGCAAGCGAACAGAAAGGTACATGTAACCTATAGCATAGAAGAACATACATCACTAGACATCATGTTGAAAGAAAAATGAAACAATATTTTATACCTGTAAGGATGCTGGTGCCCTTTCATCATTGCTAAGTTGCTCTCTCGACCGTACGTCCTAAAAAGAATGACAATCTTTTCAAATGCAATAAAGAAAAGACAAAAACAAAAGGGGAAAAAAAAGAAAAGTAGTGAAAATAGAAACGGAAAAAGAAAATTATAAAAAGGGTTAATAAAGGTTTTTCTCTGATAAGAGTTCTTTTCAGACGCTTACAAGACTAGTACACAAAGTTAAAGCATGATACTATGAAAACATTGTTCCAATTCTTTTTGTCAAACTATCTCACACAATGAACTAAAATGAGCTAAATTTGAAGCTGAATGCATTGAATAAGGTGCAAGTTGAAGTTGGAGAACAACATAGCAGGCTAAACCAATATTTTAATGTGGCTCAATCTCATTGTGTGCATATACGTAGGGATACTGCTTATGAGCAGCCACCTTCTTTAGCAAAATGGGCTACCAAGAAATGGAATGATGAGGTCCAGCTACTCTGATGTGATCATTAAAACGAGTCTCACAATTTGTCTCTCTTAGCAGCTAATTTGCAAAATGAATTATCACCTGTACTATACCTTTTTTTTTCAAAATACAAACATATATACTATATGTATTTTATACATATATTACCATTTTATTAAAAAGTATTCAAGTAAACAATGTTTTATGGCTCATGGATTTTGTGGTGCTCCCATTACGCATATCACTTAAATTTCTTACTACTCATGCTTTTACCAGCCCTTTGTTTTAGCAAAGGATACTCTATAGAAAAGGGAAAAGACTTATGTTTAAGGATTAAATCAAAATAGTTAGCATATCACAGGCGATGGAGATCATTCTAACAGAAATACCACATTAACGACTTAGACAATGCATGAGTTCTTGCGAAGTGATCAAATGCATATATCACTCTTAAATCTTTGACTAATCAACATAAATAAAAGTAAGGAACCATCATAAGGGAGATGAATATGACAATTTTTTTCATAAATGAGAACATGATAGACCAATATTTTGACTATTTCTTTTCTTATTGCGCAGAATACGAACACTAGTAATAAGAAAACAGAACCAATAAGCTAGAATAGAACCTTCACATTTGGTAAATGCATACCTTGTGTACTAAACTCTCATGATGGCCATTTGATTGCGAAACTATTGAAGAAGATATTGAGCGCATATGATCAGAAGCCTTGGAACCACGGCCCCTACCTGTTACGGAGCGACCCCTACCACGACCTTGTCTCTTCTTATTTGAGTCATCCAAACTTGGCTTTAGGTCAATAGCATCTTGAACCTTTATCCTTCCATCTGCTACTCCCTGGGCATTTTATTAATAAGCAAATTTCAGCAATTGAACAGTGGGTGATTTTGCAAATTAAGCCTACATTAAAATACTTCAGAAATGTTGGGTCCTTTTGTTCTGATAATGTTTAACAAACAATTTACCAGTAATGTTATTTGTCTAGTGTTTGTGTTTTCTTATTTATTCTAGACAAACAATAGGTTGGAGGATGGATGAAACTGAGCTTCAACGATCATATCCAATTAAGGTTGGCGGAATTATGGTATGAAGCCTATGCAATTCAAGTTGAAGATCCAAGTTCAAGCTTTATCCACATGTTTACCAAGTCGAGCTCATTGAAGACCTTCATCAAGCTTGGGTATATAGTTTATAGTGTTTATAGTATAGGTTTATACTTGTGTGTTAATGTTTTAAGCTCATATTATTCACACACACGTATTTGTTGATTTTATCAAAATATAGGTGTTTTTGATAAAATATTATTTTATTAGTTTATAGATTTCAACATCACTTTATACATAGTTTATCAAGTCTATAAAAACATTTCACAAAGTTTCAAAAGTTTATTAAGTCAAATGTCAAAAACATGTATGTTTAGTTTTCATGTTTTTGAACATATTTGAAAAATGAAGAGTTTTCACATTTAGAAGGTGATTTTTGAAAATCAGTTTTTGTAACATGTGTATTATCATGTCTACAATCATTTCCCAAAGTTTTATATTTTTTGATTTTATTTGTTATTTTTAAAAAGGTTTAAAAATCAGATTTCTGTTTCAAAACAGGCTGATAACCTGTTATCAGTCGACTGATGTGTCGACTGAAGAAATCGTCTGGAATGTCAAAAAGTTTCTGTTTTGTTTCAGTCGACTGATCAGTCGACTGATGAGGCCATTGGTCGACTGGACGAGGTCATTGGTCGACTGACGAGTTCATCAGTCGACTGATGATGTGTTGCTGGCCTATAACGATCAGCTCATCAGTCGACTGATGAACAGTATCAATCGACTGACGGCCCAACGGCTAGTTATTCCAGCTTCCTGTTTTTTTTTGTCTTTTTATTGGTTTTGTTGGTTTTCTCTTGGCTTTGGGGTTTCCTATAAATACCCCCACATATCCTCAGTTCATTACTAAGAAGAGAAAAAGTTTTAACAGAGTTTACAAGTTTTGTTTAAAGGGTTTAAGTTTGTTTAAAAGTTTTGTTTGTGAAGAAACTTTCACAAGAGCAAGTGGAGATCATCCTTTGGTGTTTAAGCATTCAGTCTTCTCTCTCTCTCTCTTGTTATCTATAGAGAAGTTTTTCTAAACTCTATTTCTAGCTATTTATTATTTTGTTCATAATTTCCATAAGCTAGATTTATTTGAGTTTAGTTTGTTTTATTGAATCTTATTGTTACACACACTCACTTGAGCTTATAGTATTTCATACATAGTATAATTGGGGTTGTGAGAGATTGTAACTTTGAGTTGTGCTTAATTGAGTTCTTACATTGTTTAAAGAACAATCATTTGTTGAGTGCCTAAATTGTAAGGTTCACCTTGTAATACACTAGTACACCAAGAGGAGTGTGGTGAGACGGAGTCGTCCCAATAGGAGTGGGGTAGGTCGTAATGCCTAGAGAGAGATTGTAATTCCTAAACATACATGTGTGGTGTAAATAGTGGATTTCTCCCCGGGAATGGGGAGCGGAGACGTAGGACGAAATGTCCGAACTCCGTGATCATATTGTGTGTTTACATTGTTTATTTGCGCACTATCACTCTTGTTTGGTTATTGTTTACTTTACCCTTGTGTTAGTTTATACATATCCTTGCTCATATCTTGTTGAATATCATTCTTGCTAGGATATATTGTTAATTAGTTTTAATTTGGCATAAATCAGATTAGATTAGCGTAAACCCTATTCACCCCCCTCTAGGGTTCCTTCCTAGTGGCATTAGGATGCTTTCAATTGGTATCAGAGCACTTTCAAGAAATACTATCAAGAGTTGCTTTTTTTTAATCAACAAGTATGCCCATGCTAAATGAAATAAAGGTCGTCTAGATTTATGGAGTTTGAGATGTATCCAAAATGTTTAGGTTGTTAGTAGGAACATAGAACTCGTCCTTTTCTATATTCTTTCTAGGATGAAATATAGTTGGATATAACATTCACCCAAAGAGCATAACAGAAAGTGAAACGATACTTAAACAAAAGTAATTTAGTTAGTAAAGCATAAATGAAACTGCATGAAGTGTGATCCTGAATGATAACAAAAAACGGTGGGGTAACAGGAAGATGCAAAATATACTTTATCGTAAAGGGCACAATTTTCCATTTAAAACTTTGAAAGGTAAATTCCTGGTATGATGTCCATTTTCAAAATTCTACAGACAGCTCAAGAAAAAAAATTCCTCGAGAAAGAGAAACAGGTTTTGGATCCTTTTCTTATAGGCTTTGGGAGTGGAGAATTGACCTCCTCATTAGTCATTCATATTCCTCCATTGGTATCTATGCAATTATCATTCATGCCAAATATAGCTATCATCCTACATTCTCGTCAATTCCATTAACTCTTTTACTCAAAACAAATTATAATCTTCCAATAAATTATACATAGTGTAACTAAGTGGATTGTCTAACTGTGATGAACCTCAGTAAATGCATCACCATAGGTAAACCAAACAAGAGGCCCATGAATATAATTTTTTACTGAGCTAGAATTATCAAATTATTTAAAATGCATGATAAACATAATGCAGTGTGAAGCAGGCTAAGATCAAGTCATTTCCTCAGGCTCAATTAGAGGCTGTTGCAGAAACAAAGGGTATGACACATAAAATATGATAAACAAAATGCAGTGTGAAGCAGGATAAGATCAAGTCATTTCCTCAGGCTCAATTAGAGGCTGTTGCAGAAACAAAGGGTATGACACATAAAATATCAAGTCATTTCCTCAGGCTCAATTAGAGGCTGTTGCAGAAACAAAGGGTATGACACATAAAATATGACACCCAAGCCTCCTGATAAATCTGGATAACAATGTGTAAGGTCTTGATAAATGCAATTTTTAATTCCAAGTTGAAGAGAAGCCTCTCAGTATAAAGAAAGAACCACTGTTAAATACTTCCAAATAACGATACATGATTGAATGGGCATAAGTTACTCAAGCGAAATCATGTGCCTCTAGATCATTCCAAGCATGGACACATAGCATGACTTCATATTGCTCCATCGTAGAATCTAACTCAAGTCTAGAGAGAGAAAGGGAAAAACACAAACTGTCTCAACCAAAAAACAAAGGGAATGACTCATAAAATATGAGACCAAAGCCTCCTAACAAATCTGGACAACAATGTGTAAGGTTTTGATCAATGTTGAAAATAGCGATAACGTATAGCGTAACGTTTACCTCCGGTTAGGTTACAATAGCGATAACGCATAGCGTAACGTAGGTTAAATAATTTATTATTATTTAAATAATTTATAGATATATAACATTCAAAATAAAAAATATGAATAATCATCGTAATTTTCAATTTCACAAATCAATATATCATCACAATTTCACACCAAATCAACCATGTTTGCCTTAACAATCAATCCAAAAGCATAAAATACTTCAAGTTCGAAACCAAAAAGGATCCAATGATCCATAAACTATGAAGTATGAAATTATTAGGTTGGGTTGGAATCCATGAAAAAGGAGTGAAAATGGGAAGGGGAGGCGGAACTGCGGGCGGCGTGAAAAAGGCGGCGTGAAAAGGGCGTGAAAAGGGGAAGGGGAGGCGGAGCTGCGGGCGGCATGAAAAAGGCGTGAAAAGGGGAAGGGGAGGTGGAAAATAACCTAAGTTATAACTCAATCACAGCCGTTCATTTCTTTTAAAAGCAATCTAAGCCATTGACAAAATAACCTAAGTTATAAAACGTTACGCCGTTACGTTACGTAACTTACGTTATAGCTAAAATAACCTACGTTATTTTGTCTTTGCGTTATTTTCAAACGTTACGTAACGTTAAGCTAACGTTACGTTACGTTAAGCGTTATTTTGCGTTACGAAACGCGTTATTTTCAACACTGGTTTTGATAAATGAAATTTTTAATTTTCAAATTGATAGAGAAACCCTTCAGTGTGTGTGAGTGTGTTTGTTGTGGTGTGGTGGGGGTGTGTGTGTGTGTGGTGTGTGTGTGTGTGTGTGTGCTGTGTGTGTGTGGGTGTTGATATGTGTGTGTTGTTGTGTTGTGTGTGATGTGCTGTGGTGTGTGTGTGTGTGTGTGTGTGTGGTGTATATATATATTATATATATATATATATATATATATATATATATATAAAGGACCACTTTTGATACTTCCAAATTATGATAAACGATTGAATGGGCATAAGTTATCCAAGCCAAATCATGTGACTCTGATCATTTCAAGCATTTACACAATGCATGAGAACTTCATATTGCTCCATTGCAGAGTCTAACTCAAGCATAAAGAGGAAAAAAACACAAACTGGCTCAACCATGAATTGTTCTGACAATGAAAGCAATACAGGGGTTTGTTGACGCAAAGGGACTAGAGAAAGCTTGAACAAATCTGGAAGACAGATCACAAGAAAATTTTCTTCCTATAACTAAAGATTTATTCTCATAGTAACAATCCCTAATGTTATCATTACATGTTACACTTTCCTTTAACTGAAAAATTATTATCGTAGCAACGATTAATATTTACATCACATGTGATACGCTCTGTTGTTTGAAATTGGGCTTGATTAATAATACCACAAATTCCAGTTCCAAACATTGTGCATGTATTCATAGACGAGAACCTAGAGATAGATCAAAGTGTTGGCCATGTAAGATAATCAAGATCTATACTACAAAATGGACCCAAAAAGGTCACGTGTATTTGCAATGACTCTTAAGTTCATAACTTAGAGAGAACATTAGAACTTTTATTACTTTAATTAGAGGAACCGAGACAATCACATTAACTCCAAGCATTATCAGAGAATTAAGGCGCACGTTTCAAGTGAAGACAGTCTATCAAATGGTTATTAAAACTAGAATCTATTTCCAAAAACTCAGTTGGACTTTCAGAGGTGTTATCATTACACTAGCAACTTGGTACGTTTTCCCTGCAGAAAACCAATAGTTACAATAACCCAATCAAAGAAATGAGAGAGAAACGCCACTCGTACTCTACATTTGTGGTATTTATACCTTCACTCGTGGTGGTGAATCAATGACTTTCCTAGGGACTTCAGAATAAGATAGATAACTTCTCCTTTTGAAAAAATTTCAAAAGTTTTCTCATTTAGAAATTGCAACTAAGCACTAGATATTAGCCTGACAGTAACTTCAGAATCTGAATTCTGATTGTAAGTAAAACAATGAGGGAAACATTTGTCCCTCGGTGGTAGCTAGCTTATAGTTGAATATCACCAGCAACTATCAGAAACAGTATATTATGCCTACATGATGAGTAAAAGAGGGACAAAATTTGTTGACAGCTAATTTGTTTTTATAGTGAATGCTGAAAAGCAAAAGCAGAATAAATTCCGTCCTACAGAGAATCACAGTAATCAGTAAACTGTACGATAAATGAACAGCATTAAGCATGACTAGTCAGATGCCATACATAATTTGAACTGTGTTATTGGAATTTCACCATTTAATTCCAAACTGCATATATACATGTAAACCATAAACAAACTGAATTTGATTAAATTCAAGAACTAAAATGTTTAATACCAGGAGTACGTCAATACACAGCTGTGAACTAGGATCTTTTTATATTTTCATTTTCGAAATTGTTTCGGATTTTTGCAAGAGTGAGGTTTATCATTAATTGTCAACTACGTGTAGGCATCCAAAGAAAAACAATGTCTACATTTAAGAAACAAAATGTTTAACATCAGGAGTTTCTCAGTACATAGCTTCGAGGTAGATGTTTTGACAGTTTTGTATTCATATGTCGAAATTGTTTTCAGATTATTGGACGAGTCGGGGCCTGTCTAGTCATAGTGACACAGTTACAAACTAGAAACTACAGACAAATACTAATACAGCAAGACATGACACTACCAGAAACAGGAAACTATAACAAGCAAAAATTTCATGTATCAAAAGAACACACCTCATAAGTTTGTAGCGTCGCTTGATCATCCTCTTGAATTTTTTGCCTTTTCTGAATATTGTGTTGTATCAAAAATTCCCTGCCATTCTGAACAGGTGATAAGCACATTCAAAATCAGGTGTCTATACATCTTTATAAGCAATAATAGGAACTTCTAAATGGATTTACAGACACCTCATCTGAACTCTGAAGCAAACTAATGTACATTGCTTATAATAACTTAGATCGAATCAGCAATCAACAAACAGTAATGCCTCATCTAATTGAACACACAACAAAAGAATGAGACCCATGGGCCTTTCAAACAACAATGACATTGAGTGGATCTCCAGATCTAAATTTGCATTATGAAGCAACAAGTAATTTACTAGACAATAGCCAAATTGCAGTCATAACCATTATTCACAAATTCTATAACAGCAATAATATCAGGACTTCACATGTTATCCTTGCATGAAATATTTCAAAATGAACTTTATATTTCTAACAGATCTATCTCCCAAAAAGAATAGCAATTGGATAGAATAGTGCAGCTACGGCAAGTTGCTAGCTTATTTGGAAAGAACATGACCTTCTTTTCAACTCAAAGAGTCAGCCTGAAGAAAACATCATGAAGAATGCATCACGTCTTGTGGAGTTATGGCTTGATCAGCTACCAATGCATAAAAGTAGATGACCATGTACAAATTTCTAGTTTATTCTCATCCCTCATCTTCATGTACTCTCATTTACATAAATATCCCTCATTTTTACTATCGATTCAGTTAAAAAAGACTTGCAATTCGAGATAGATTAACATAGGCAAGCGCCCATCATAAACACATAAGTAAGACAATGAGGTAAATATCAGAAATTTCCAGACAATTGCAAAAAAAACTCAAATGTCATAGGCAATGGAGCTCACATCATCATCAGAATCGCTTGAAGATTCCGGCAGCTCCTCGTCCGCTGCGAACTTCACCGAGGTGATCGATTGCCACGCCGAGGACTGAACCCCCGGAGAAGACGACGAGCTCTTGCCAGCCATTCGAGCTTCCAGCTTCGCAAGCTTCGATGGAAGCGAGGGATCTGATGGATTCGACGAGTTCGATAAATGCAACACAATGTCATCCGGCATGGCTGAGATCGGATCAAGAAACCCCCCCCACAAAACCCTAGAGGAAATTCAGCGCAAGAGAAACCCTAGAAAAAATTACGAACGGGATGCCTAACGTGCGCCGGGCCGGCTAGAACGCGCGGCACCGGCAGTCTGGTGAAAGAGAGGAAGGAATTAGGGGCGTTTTTGGGAAGGATAGTAGGGGTGTTTTGGGAAATGGTGAAAGTGGACTCTCTCACTATTTTCTCTCTCTCTCTCTCTTTCACTCTATTTTGCGATGTGAGGTTGAGAGCAAAGCGAGTTGCCCTAATTCAGTTTTGCTAGCAATTGAGGAGAGGTGGCGAGGGATGGGCAGGCTTTTTTCTAAAGAGGGGGCTTTTTTTATATTTGAATTGTATTGTATTCTACATTATGAATTGAATATTGTGTTTAATATGGTTATTTAGTAAGGGAGATGTATTTAGGGTTTTTCGTGAGTAACTGAAAGCTGTGAAATTGAAGATCTTATGTAATGCATTTAGGATTTTGACTTTTGAGACAGAAAAAGATTCATGTACAAGTTCTAGGATGGAGTAAATTGGGTTGGGCGGGGCTATTAAAGGACCCAAAAACTAAAAGCCCAAAACCAACATTAGAATTCATTAGTCAGATCTCTCTCACCCTTCCTCGCTCCCCTTCATTTGTCTCTTCCTCCCTCTATTTCCAAATCTACAAAGCTCGGAACTTAATTTCTATTTGGTTCCTCCATCTCCACCTAATAATTGGCACTTCTACTATCATACCC